CTTTTTGTTCTTCCCCGTCTACTAAAAAGGGTATTACACCTCCACCGCCACGTACTTGCACACTGCGGGAAGGAAAGCACAGGCAGGTTAGGGGGTTTCACTGCTCCGATGGGCAGCGCGACGCAGCACCTGGGGACGGGACAGCAGCAGAAACAAGCACCGGGAGTCGGGTGCACTAGAGCCGCTGTGAGCAGAAAACAGACGCCTCGGCCATTCAGAGAAATAATTGGGAACGGCTCAACTGATTCCACTGGAGGTCCCTTGAAGCGGAAACACCCGAATCAATGCTTCAGTGTAAGTGCCTCCACGCAGCCAGCTGCTACGGCACAGCTGGGGAGGCGGATGGCGCCAGTTCTGCCTGCAGGTTTCCCGACAGCTCCACTTCACAGCCACCGAAGCCTCCGCGCCACAAGCCGCTCCCTTCCTCCTGGAAGAGGATGGGGTCTTTTCGCAATGCAAGCCCCGGCATGGGTCACAGCTCCTCCGCACCACACCAGCACATCCCACTCGGATAACAGTTCCCCCGGTGCCCCGGGAACACGGGGGCTGCGCTGGGGACCGAGCGGCTGGCAGGGCTCAGCGGGCCAGGTGGCGGGACAAGGTGCTGGCTACTGACTGTGTCACTGCACGAGCGGCCGTCAGCTCCAGCAGCACCACATGGGGCACTGCCTGCAGCAGAGACCACGGCACCAACAGCTTATAACACAGCACATGTTTTCTTTTATTAAAACAAAAAAAAAAAGGGGAAACAAAAGCTTTATTTCTTCTGTAATGAAGTCTGACAGAGCTATAGAAACAGAGAGCAGGAGAAGAGAAATATCTCGGGGGGTTACAAATGGAAATGTGGAGGAATGGAAGCCAGGCACAGTGTGGCCCTTCCTCCCCCAAAGCTGGGGTCCTGGGAGGCTGGAGAAGGCTTTGTCCTGTGCTGCGGACTCCTGTTTGCCGGGAGCCACCTCTTCTTCAAGTCCTGCTTTGGGAGAAGGGCCAAGCCCGAGCAGGAATGGTCTGACAGCAATGAGCCACCGCATCTTCTCCCAGGCAATGACGTGAGTGGAGAGATGTGCCGCACGCAGGGAAAGAGCGAGGTGGCTTCTCCAGGGCTGCCGTGCACGTGCCGAGAAGCCCTGTGTGCACCTCCTGCACTTTCCTTTCTCTGCTGGCACCAGGGGCTGGAGGTGACTGCAGCCATTTCTCAGGTGGGACGAGTGCTCTTTCCTGCAGCCCCCCTGGACTTGGGCCTCGAGGACGTCCCTCTCCACACCACACCTGCTGCAGCGTCCCCACGCATGCCAGGAGCGCTCACTGCTGGGTCCAGTTATCCAGATGCTGCTCACGGCTATTGCTGCGCGCTGACACAGGTTCCAAGCCTGGGCAGGAAGAGGAGCAGCGCGTGGTCAGTGCTCGCTGTGATGCTTCCCTGAGGTTATGCAGGTGCCACAGCACAGCTCGGACATCAGTGTCTCCAGAGCTGCTTCCCCGGCAGGGAAAGCTTTGCAAAGAGCTCCGGAGTTTCATTTCTTCCTTTTCTCTTTGCTGTCACGCTCCAAGTGTCCCTGCACAGCAAAGACAGAGGAAACCACGGCAAACAGCAAAGGTTCGTCGTGACCTGCCCTGGATTGCCTGTGAAGCCTTTGGCTGCTTGCGAATCAAGGGGCTGCTCAGGGAGGAAGCGTCACTGAGGCCGAACTGTGAGCAGCAGAGGCGACCAGCCCCAGCTACGAACCGCCAGGCGATTAGTGCCTACTGGAAACAGCAGTGACTGCCAGGGCGCCCCTAAACCTCTCACCTAGGACAGGACGGAAGACAGCCGCCAGCAGGGGCAGGCCGCGGGAGGCTCCGCTCCGCTGCAGGGGCACTGCTGGAGACTTGCTCCCGCCCAAGCGCACAGCAGCAGCGGCCACTGCGAAGCGCCCCTGCGCTCGCCCCTCTCCTCCACCGGCGGAGGGGCTGCGGGGGCAGGCAGGAGACGGACGGAGGGGCAGCCCGCAGGGGCGCAGTCGGGCCCCGGGGCCG